CTAAATGTTCATCCATTGAGGATTGTCTGTATCCATTTTATTCTGTCCGTGATGGAAGCCACGAGGTCCTTAGAGATCACACACTATACGAATACAAAGAAAAATTTTATAGTATGCTGCTAAGAGAATAAATCAAGTGTGAAAATAATATGGATGGCTTAAATCAAACTATAAATTATTTTTGAGAAGTTGTTTAGATGCATAGGACAAAATACCAAAAGATGACAAAATGAAAAGTTATTGGTGGCTATTTCTGGGGGTTCCAATGTGGAGATTTTTTCTCTCTTGTGCTTTTCTATGTTCTCCAAATTGCTTATAATTTTAAAAAACTTAACTTTTTAAAAAGAGTCAACCTTTGGAAACACTGAACGTGTCCCATAACTCAACATCAGTACCTATCAGTTTCCTGTTTCCTCTAATTCATCTTATTTTTCCTAAACAGTAATGCTGTGGGGTGGGGTGGGGTAGGGGAAATGCCATCTACTACTTTTTTTCTCTGTTGTTTTGTTGTTAACACTCCTTCAGTATTGCTCTTTGTTCACTGAAATATGAATCAGTGGTTGAAATAGATCCAGCATCTTGCCAGTTACTAGAATCAAGAATGAGAGCAGGCAACCACATGGTGTTTCCTGAGTTCCAGGAGCTGTTCTAATAATGCACGAGTGTGTGTGTGCGCGCGCATGTGTGTGTATTTAAATTCTCACACAACAGCTCCGTGAAATAGATCTTAATATCATGCCCCATTTATGAATGAAGAAACTGAGAAGCCAAGTGACCTGCCCAAAGTCACACAGTAAGTGCGTGTCCAAGCCTGGATTCAAGCACAGTCAGTCTGCCCCAGAAGCTGTGCCCACCATCACCATGAGATGCCACTTCTACAAGGATACAAGATGCACACAGTGTGACTTTCATGTTTTCCACTCTTTGCCATTGCACTATTTCAACCGAGGTCTGGGTTAAGTAAGAATTTTTGGACTGGCTTTGATCCTTAACTGCCATTTATAACATGACTTCTATAGGAAGAAATCACTACGCATTCTAAAGAACTGACCTTCAGATGAAATTTCTGAAAAGTCTATTTATAAGTTGGGGTGTGCCTGCTTATCTCCCAAGGAGATTATTGCCAAGGGAAAGACATGTGTTTCCATCCAAAAGAAATGTCTGGAAATTATTTGGCCTTTGGATCAACTCAGGCCATCCACCTTTAGCCAGGAGTTTACTCTGAGGACTCTTCATGAAGTGCTTAAACCATGAATAAAGAGTCTTCGGAATGCTAACATCAAGTCACAGGCATGGTTTTGGAAGCCCTAGAATTTTCAAATGGGCACACACATACTTCTGGGAAAAGGGTCCTTCTTGGCCACTTGGCACTCTTGAAGAGAAGGCAGAAAAGCATGGAAGTCGAGCATTTCTTCATCCTTTCAGAAGTAGATGAATGTTCAGTGAAGATAAAATGTTCTAGAAGAGAGAAAAGGCTGAGGGGCAGGAGAGATATAAACTTGCATAATTTTCATTGTTCCCAAATATATTCTAATATACGCTTGGATTTGCCTGCTAGAAGTAGACCACATAATCAACAGGTTGCAAAAATTGCTTACTGAGCTATTTCAATCCAATTTCTAATAGCAAGAGACAGAGTACAATTTTGCTCCATTTCCCTTTCCAAAAGGTAAAGCTGTCAGAGAAGTTTATATTTATGGAAAAGCAATACAGCAATATCATACTGTATCCTTAGAAAAACGCATATTTGTACACATTTTCTCCTTCATCAGTAAGAGAAAATGGGCAGACTCAGACATAACAGGAGAACTCTCCCTAGCTGAGAATTAAACCAAGAAAAACTAAAGATACAGTTTAAAAGCTTTTTATACAAAACCATCTCACTGGGAAAACCAAAACAAGCGACCGTTCCCAAATTGCAAGGACATGAACCACATTGTCACAAACTGGAAATCGTACAAGATTAGGAAATAACAAAATCTAATCTTCTCATGGAAAAAGAAATCATAGTCTTCTGAAGTTCCACAAAGAACACTGTGCAGCTTTATTACTCTAAGGAAAAATTCTGAATAGAAAGTAGTGATATTTTCTGGTCATGGCGATAAAGCTCATTCTTTACATGTGGTATACATTCAGTAAGTGTTTGAAAACAGATCCTATTATAGGCACATAATTTTGATACATGTGTTTATCACTGATTAGGTTTTACACATAGCAGACTTGTATTACGTCTGGTTCTTAAAGCTGAGGGACTCATAAATAATCTGCATACTGAGTTGTTGGTTCCTTTTGTTCTGTTTGATGAAAAGAAAGTGTGTTTTTAGAAGGAGAAAAAGACTTTTTAATCATTCATCAGCTCTGTTAATAAGCACTCTAAATCCTAGAATGCGGGCTTAGATTTCCTGAAGACTTTAATGGCATATTCTTTTACAACTATTCTTCACTAAGATATCATTTTATTGTATTGACCTTTTTTTTATTTCCATGTCTAAGTCCAATGATACTGATAACAGACTAGAACTATAGAACTACACTTTTCAAGGTAATAGCCCCTGGACACATATGGCTATTAAGCTCCAGAAATGTGGTTGGTGTGAATTCAAATACACTAGGAGAGTAAAATACACACTAGATTTGAAGGCTTAGTACAAAAAAAGAAGAATGCAAATCATCAACATCATAATTTTTATATCACTGACGTGTTGAAATGATACTCTTTTGGATATACTGTAACATAGAAAATATATTTTTAAAATTCATGTTATCCATTCTCTATTCTCGGTCCTGTCCCTGGCCCCAGCAGGCTGACCTCTGAGGACTGAGCCCCCCAGGCTTCATTGATGGGAGGTTCTTGGTTGAGTTCAGCCAATGGGTGGCCCTCGCAGAAGATCTGAATGTGAGAAAAAGGAGCAGGCAAGACAAGCCTTTACTCTTCTCCCCTCCCTACCTTAGGTCCATGTTTCTCAGAGAAGCTGGGCATCACGGTAACAACAGCTCTAACTTGGTGGCTCCTCCTCTGGGACTCCACCTTCCCTGGGCTCTGAAAACACAACGTCCTGCTTCATCACTTAGGGAAGTAGCACTTCCCACTGTTACTGTTCTCTGGGTGCCTTGTCACCCACCCTTGGTTGGTTTCCTTAACCCTGCCACTCTTTTTTTTTTGAGACAGAGTGTTGCACTGTTGCCCAGGCTGGAGTGCAGTGGCACGATCTTGGCTCACTGCGAGCTCCGCCTCCCAGGTTCACGCCATTCTCCTGCCTCAGCCTCCTGAGTAGCTGGGACTACAGGGGCCCGCCCCCACGCCCGGCTAATTTTTTTTTTAAATTTCTTTTTTATTTTTAGTAGGGATGGGGTTTCACCGTGTTAGCCAGGATGGTCTCAATCTCCTGATCTCATGATCCACCCGCCTCGGCCTCCCAAAGTGCTGGGATTACAGGTGTGAGCCACCATGCGTGGCCTAGCCCTGCCAGTCTTTAGTTCATCCCTGTATTAATTAACCTATGAATGCATTAGGCTTTTATGCATTAATAGGTGCTTTTGAAACACATGCGGTGAATTCCGCCCCCTGCTGGCACCCTGCCTGATATATAAACCCATTCTTTTCTCCTATATAACAGTAGAAAAAGCCAAGATCCAATACCCGGCCAGGCGCGGTGGCTCAAGCCTGTAATCCCAGCACTTTGGGAGGCCGAGACGGGCGGATCACGAGGTCAGGAGATCAAGACCATCCTGGCTAACACGGTGAAACCCCGTCTCTGCTAAAAAATACAAAAAAACTAGCCGGGCGAGGTGGCGGGCGCCTGTAGTCCCAGCTACTCGGGAGGCTGAGGCAGGAGAATGGCGTAAACCCGGGAGGCGGAGCTTGCAGTGAGCTGAGATCCGGCCACTGCACTCCAGCCTGGGCTACAGAGCGAGACTCCGTCTCCAAAAAAAAAAAAAAAAAAAAAAAAAGATCCAATACCCACGGACAAGATATCTTAGATTATGTTAAGATGAGTTTGATGCATTGAAATCAGCATATGCACTCTTTTTCTTAATGATCCAAGAGCTTCTTGGTGACACAAGAAAGTCAATATGATTTAAACCCTGCCCACAGTGGCCAAGCCACCATCTCACTTCAAGAATGTGAGCAAATGAGGAAAGCCCACAGAAAACAAAACTGTGCGGCTGAAATAGTAAGTGCCCACAGAGCTGCAAGCACAGTATTTGAGAGTTTAGAGGAAGAAGAAATATACGGATGTGGTCTGCATTTCCCACTCTGTCTTGCAATCATTTTTCTAGCAAACAGCAGGAAATGTGAACATTGCCTGGAGCATAAAATCTGGGTATCATGCAAGGTGTTGCAGACCTGTAGTCCTGGCTACTCAGGAGGCTGAGGGGAGAGGACACCCTGAGTCCAGGAATGCAAGGTTGCAGTGAGCAGTGATTGCCCCACCGTGCTCCAGCCTAGGTGACAGAGTAAGACTCCATTTCTAAAAACAAACAAACAAAACAAAAAATGCTGGCTAAGGCAATAACAGGTGGTCATAATAATAAGTGTAGCTAATGACTATCTAGTAGCTCCTATTAGCCTAACATTCTGCTAAATACTTTACACAACTATTGCTATCACTTCCGAATAGTACTTGTCATTTTCCAGGTACTTTTTATACTAACCACTTTACCTCTATTAACTCATGTAATCTTCATAACAACCTTAGAGACAAATACTATGGTAGTCTTCATTTTACAGATGCAAAAACTGGGGTGCAGACTTTAATCAACTTGCCCAAGGTCCCACAGACAATAACTGGTGGAACTGGAGTTTGAGTGAGGCAGCCCGGCCCCAGAGACTTCATTTGTGGCCATTATGCCCTACACCTTCTCAAAGGCTGAGTTAATCTTCACAACACCCCATGAAGCTCTGAGGAGAGCAAAGGTTCAGAATTGCTTCCCAAACTCACCCAAGATCGTAAGACTAGTCCCCATGACACTAGACTGCCTCCCAAATAAACCTGGAAAATGAACTGGGGCCAAACTGTAGAGAGCTTAGATGAATACCTTAGTGCAAAGATGAATACTTTAGTCAATCTGTCCTTACTCCTTAACTTTGCTCTTCATTGGCCCCCATGCTTCGTGCTCTGTGTAAGCCACCCAATCGTTATCTTTGACTCCTTTTCCACATCTCGTTCCGTTATCTGCCTTCCTCTCTCCAACAGTTTACCTTCCATCCTCATCTTCCTGCATTAACTTCAACAGTACCAGACATTTCTCAATTGGCCAACTGCTCTCCACTTTCTCCATCCCTACCTCACATGTGGAAGAATGGAACTAACCCCAACCATCTTCGACAGCCACCCTTGATTTCCCTCAGCCAATCAGCAGGGCTTATCTACCTATTCACAGGAACTGGTTGAGAGACAGACCTAGCAGATTGCTGGAACCAGCTCCCAGGGGCTTCAGAGTCCACTGCGGCCCCCTCTACCCCACAGTGGGTCCAGGGACATCACGTTGGTAGTCTGAAATCAGCCACGGTGAGAGAGTTTGTGCCATAAAAATCAAACGCTGCGTATCAGGGTTTTTTTTGTTGTTGTTTTTGTTTTTTTCATTTTTACCTCTTTTCTTTTTCTTTTTCTTATTTGAGAAAGAGAGACAGGGAGAGGGAATTGCTAGATATTCATCTGTACACTACTTGGACGAACAAGACCTAATTTAGGTCCATGAGACGTGAGGAGATATTTAATCAGGGTTTGGAGAAATCATTGAAGAAGATTCTGTTCTTTTGTGTAGGGAGAGTTATAAAGAAATTGGATCTTGGCCGGGCGCGGTGGCTCAAGCCTGTAATCCCAGCACTTTGGGAGGCCGAGACGGGCGGATCACAAGGTCAGGAGATCGAGACCATCCTGGCTAACATGGTGAAACCCTGTCTCTACTAAAAATACAAAAAACTAGCCGGGCGAGGTGGCGGGCGCCTGTAGTCCCAGTTACTCGGGAGGCTGAGGCAGGAGAATGGCATAAACCCGGGAGGCGGAGCTTGCAGTGAGCTGAGATCCGGCCACTGCACTCCAGCCTGGGCGACAGAGCGAGACTCCGTCTCAAAAAAAAAAAAAAAAAGAAATTGGATCTGAGACTACTAAAGCCATTTTGGCCATCAAAGGACCTAACCGGAGGATAGAGTTGACATACAGAGAAGAGCTGCTCTGAAAGGATCAAAGAGGTCTGGAGCCAGAGAGCACTGATGGTGTGGACTTCTGAATCCACCCCCAAAGCCCGTATGCCTCTTCACTCTTCAGTTAAATGAGACAATAAAGTCCCCCTGTTTTAAAAACCAGTTTGAATTGGGACTTTTATGGCCATCAATTGAAAGATGTTGAGTGGATACACAGAGTTATGACTTAGGAGCAAGGCCACCCCTATTGCACAAGCCCAGGGGCACCATTCACTTGAAGTCTTTGTAAAGGGGAGTCCTTCCTTGGAGCCGGCAGGGCCCACCCTGTGCAGCCACATGTGGCAAATGTAATGTTGTGCCTAAGAAACAGCCTATTCCCCTCTATCATTCAGCAGGAAGCCCAGATTCCCTGCTAGTACCCCATTGATTCCTTTTATTTCGCTGCCCATTTTCATTCATCTCTTCTTATTACCCTGCTGCATATAACACACCATTGCCCTGTTGTTGTTTTTTTTCTCACTTCTTCCAACAGCCAACTTTTACTGCTTTCTACCCTTATTCTCTGTCTTCTGTAGCCTTTGGGAATTTCTAAAAAGAATAAACAGATTTTTAAAATCCAGGCCAGCTCCATCGATTAATCAAAGCTTTCCCATCAGTCTTCCAAGTGTTTATCCTGTTATTTTGCTTTCTGTTCAACCCATATTGACCAAGCTGGCTCATTCCTCATGTGCCAAATATGTCCAACAAGTACGTGTTTCAGCACCTTTATGTGTGATGCTTTCCTTGCCTTGAATTCCAAGATCCTTTCATCTTCCCATATTGAAATCTCGTTTCCAGCAATTCCCAATTCAAATCCCTCCCCATTATGATTGTCTTACTCCAATATTATTATAAGAAACAGACCTCTTCAGCCAAAAAACTAAATGTGTTGAATTAAAAGAATACAGGCCTAACTCACAGAACCTAAGGCATAAAATGCAGCCAGGTCTCATACGAAATTGGAGTAAGAGAAACCAGAAAATCAGGAACGGAATCTGTCCATCTCTGGAACACCCCGTTCTCACTTGTCTGCCTCTCTATTCATATCTGTCTCGTTGTCGTTGCCCTCTTCACATCTGCTCTCCGGATTTTGTGTATGTCTGGTGGTTTGTTTGTTTCATCGATTCCAGAGTCCGGTGGAAACTGAGTAGGTTCTCACTATGTCTCAATTTCAAATGTCTCGGAGGAAAAGCTAATAGGTTGTTTTCCCCTGGGTCTGATGCCCACCCTGTGACAAGTCAACTGCGAAAGAAGGTACATGACTACGTGGCACCTTTGACTGTTCCTTCCAGGGATGTAGAAAGATCAGACTCTCTAAAGAGGAGGTGTAAGGGCACGGAAGAAGGGATTGGCATCCCTAATATGCTAATCACGCCTTACAGTGATTCCACATCCCCCACTTCTTACTACATGTATCTAATACTGTTGTAACTTAGATTCATGCCCCTCTTTCCCCACTAAGGTACTGGGAACAGAGATCAGTTTATCTGCATCTTATGTAAGGATCACTATTGTAGTTGGATTTTCCAGAAAGCAGATACAGGTTAGCATGCAGAATATTTATTAAATAATATCATTGGTATCAAGTTCTGTAGAAGGAAGGGGAAGAAAGCAGGAATGGTCAGAAGGAAACTGTGAGCAAATTCACGACAATGAAGGCCAAATCCAAATGACAGCCTCAGCCTACCCTATGGGGAGCTCTGGAGAAAATTTAGCGTTATCCTAGTAAGGCTGAGATCACCAGGCCTGTATCCTGCATCTACCAGTCACTGGATGTGAACTATCCCAGGGATGGGGGCATGTATTTGTGTGAGGGATCCTTCCGCAACTGAAGCAATCTGGAAGTGCTAACAGCTGGATACTGGGTGCTGACAACAAGCCCAGCAGCTGAAGCAGTAAGTATTTTAATGAAACGGGGTCTGGATGGCACGCCGCAATGACCACAATGACGACTGCAGCCACCATTGTGCCTTACACAATGCATGTGCTTACACATCTGTTAGCCACTTCAAAGCAGGGGTGGGAGGAAGAATAAGAATAACTGTTAAATGAAAGATTAGAACGGATTTTTTTAAAATCCCAAGATTTGAGGCTAGCAACGTATACAAATTCCACATCTGCCTCTTACTACGTTACCGAGCTTCTCTGTAACTTCCCTTCACTCCCCTGAGATGATAGCAAATATGCTCCATGTATATCTGTCCCTAATATTTGCGTGACCCAGAGAAGGAATACAAATGATGTTCCCACCCCTCGTTAGTGTGTAAGCACCTCAACCCACATGCTCAAGTCCTGTTCACACTCTTTCCCCAGCACCTCTCTTAACAGCAGCCCCTTGGATCACTCTCTGCTAAACAGACTTGGAAAAGAAGCCCTTGCAGTCTTTGGAAATGGGGTTGAGGCCATTTGCTTAGGGAACCTAATACCCCAGTGCCTGAAGTAGGGTCTAGAAAGAGCAGCATAGCTCTGAGCGGGACTCCCCTGGGCCCCAATCTCCTCACTTCACAAGGAGAAGACTGGGATGCCAAAGTTAAAATAGGTCTCCCAGGCCAGGCGTGGTGGCTCGCGCCTGTAATTCCAGCATTTTGGGAGGCCGAGGCGGGCAAATCACCTGAGCTTAGGAGTTCGAGACCAGTCTGACCAACATGGAGAAATCCCATCCCCACTAAAAATATTAAAAATACAAAATTAGCCGGGCGCGGTGGTGCATGCCTGTGATCCCAGCTACTCAGGAGACTGAGGAAGGAGAATCGCTTGAACCCGCCAGAGGGAGATTGCAGTGAGTGGAGACTGGGCCATTGCACTCCAGCCTGGGCAAGAAGAGCAAAACTCCGTCTCAAACAAAACAAAACAAAACAAAACAAAACAAAACATAGGTTTCCCTAAAGCACAGGGCCCAAGAAAGGAGTCCTGGATGCAACAATCAAAGGCCGTACGCAGTTCAATAGCTCATCCCATCTGAACCTGGAATGAAGGACGCATTTAGGTCAGCTATTAGTGTTCTTTAATTCTATAAAAAGTCCCGGCCGGGCGCGATGGCTCACGCCTGTAACCCCAGCTCTTTGGGAAGCCAAGGCGGGAAGATCATGAGGTCAGGAGTTTGAGACCAGCCTGGCCAACATGGTGAAACCCCGTCTCTATTAAAATTACAAATATTAGCCAGGCGTGGTGGCGGGCGCCTGTAATCCCAGCCACTTGGGGGGCTGAGGCAGGAGAATTGCTTGAACTGGGGAGGCAGAGGTTGCAGTGAGCCGAGATGGTGCCACTGCACTCCAGCCTGGGTGACAGAGCAAGACTCCGTCTGGAAAGAAAGAAAAAAAGAAGTACCCAAATGAATTCTCCCTTAAAAAGTTCTTTCCGGCCAGGCTCGGTGGCTCACGCCTGTAATCCCAGCACTTTGGGAGGCCGAGGCGGGCAGATCACGAGGTCAGGAGATGGAGACCATCCTGGCTAATACGGTGAAACCCCGTCTCTACTGAAAATACAAAAAAACGAGCCGGGCGTGGTGGCGGGCCCCTGCAGTCCCAACT